CAGTGAGACTGTCTCAAAAGAAGACCAGATATTCTGTACCCGCTGGCAGGAAAAAAACACTCCCCTGAATTACACGTGGAGGTAAAGTGAGTGGAAGGCTGGACCAGAGCTCTGACCTGTGTGATCCTGTCCATCCCACAGGTGTGCCACGCAGCCCCACCCAGTCAGGGCTCCTCTGCTTCTCCACGGCCACACCTCAGGCCAGTCAGGGTGTCATGACACCCATTCCCCTTGCTGCATGGCCATGGCCCACACCTTGTACTCACCTGTGTCGTGGGGCAGCACTGCTCTCCCCCTGTGTCTTCTCATGCTTCCATCTATTTCCAGTAAAGCAGCTCAAGGCACAAATACAGGAGTCAAAGCTATTCCCAGCACCCGAGAGGTAACCTCTAAACTCTGCAGTCACAGTTAGAACTCTACTGCAGGGCCAGCAGGGCCCCTCTGCCACTCAGCTCCCAGCCCTGCCCCTGCTGGTCCAGCCACAGCTGCAACATACTGCCTCATGTTTCCCTCAGACTCTTCTGGCTGGCGTCTGACTGCCTTACATGCTCTGAGTCCCTCTGTCTGAAAGGATATTTCTCTACCCAAGGCCCCAGCCATGCACACTCGGCCTCTGCTCCATCACCCTGTCTGCATTACACTCAGTGTCTTCTCCATCACTCTGTCCTATGTACACTTAGCCTCTTCTCTGCCATTCTCCCTCTGGATACACATGTTTATTGCTGTACTTTTCACCAGCTCACACACTATGTGTTTTCTTATTTGCCTTGTTTATTGTACTCTGAACTCCAAATGATGCAAGAACTGGAAATTTCTTTTTTTCTGATTGTTTCCTGAGTCCTCAGAAGACTGGTAACATTCAGTACAATTTCAGTGTTTTTTGATTATACAAATGAATAAAGGAGCCAACAAATGTGAATGCAAAAATCTATTCAGTATGTGCTAAGCTGACTTTTAGAGTTAGATTTGTAATCTAATTCTTTGTTCAGATTGAAAGTAAATGAATGAAACTGTCCTCAAAAGATGTTCAGAAATTATTAATACAAACAGTAATCATGAAAGACAAATTATTAATGTATAAATTATACAAAACAATAATTGAATCTTAAATCCAAAAGTTAGTTCTGGCTAAAAAGGCAAAAGCATTACATTCTCACCCCTGAGAAAGCTAACCAATAAAAGAAGAAAAAAACAAAACTAGAACCATATTTTAGGACACTACAGATCTGAGGGAGATTAAAACTTAGAAAAAAAATGCAAGTGTGCCAGTACATGCCTGTAATCCCGGTACTCTGGGAGGCTGAGGCAGGAGGAACACAAGTTCCAGCCCAACCAGTGAGTCCCTGTATCAAAATTTTAAAAAGGACTGGGAATGTGGCTCAGTGTAGACATCTATAAAAGAATTCTCCAGAAGATTAGAATGCTTAGTGTCATAAATATTTAACATTGTTCAGAATTTCTGGTTTAAGTATTAACATGGAAATGATATTCAATCTGTAAGAAAGAGAAACAAAATTTCCCTGTTGGTAAACAGTGTATCAGCACTTATCTACAAATTCTTGAGAATGGGTTAAAAAGTATTTTGAGTAGCTGAAACAATGTTGCAAAGTGAATAAATACCACAAGCAGACAAACTAGAAGGCTCTAGTCTGAGAGGAACAGTCATAAGAGGAAACTCAATTGATGATGAAAATGTTCTCTAGGAGAATTTGCTCTGGTGCTTTTGGCTACAGGTTTGTCAGCCAGCCTGGACAGTAAGAGTTATCTCTGTAATAAAAGTGACAAAAAGCCATGCTCCTGGCTTCTCCCATGTTGGGGCAGCATCTTCCTAGGCTCTGGGTCCTTCATTTGTTCATGCTGCCCTGTTTGGTCCCTGTGTGGTTCACTGCACTGCCTGTCGAGGGTCTGCCTGGCTTTCACAGATCCGACAGGACTGGAGAAGGAAGGTGTCTTGCGCAACTGTGAAATGTATGTGGGTTGCGGCTTTTGGAGCTGTGGGTTAAAAGTAGGTAATGCCATGATATTACAAGCGAGTTTGAGTAACGGGATGCATGTGAGGTTCTTGTTTGTCAAGAAAATACTGTTAGCAAGGAGGGCCCACATTGTGTACTAGATCATTCCTCCCTGCACTGAGAGGACTCTGTTAGAGTTAGGCAGGCATTTGTTTGTTTGTTTTGCAGTGCTGGGAATTGAACCCAGGGCCTTCACACTGAGCTAGCTATATCCTCAGCCTTCTTTATTTGTTTATTTTACTTGTATTTTGAGACAGGGTTTAGTGCTTTGCTGTTCTACTGGGAGAGGCTCATAGGACAGTGGGCAGAGCCTGATTCCCATCCACACTGTACCCCAAAACACTGATGCAGAACAGATGGCACCTGGTCCCCCACCGCCACCCTGTCCTGTCTCCCCAGAGCCAGCCGTCCCTACCATCAGCTTCCTCAAACAGTGCTCTGTGCATCTCCTGACCCCCACATCCAAAGAGCTGGAGCGCCCCAGCTCCTGTGCCCCTTGGGCAAGCATGTCCCTCCCCACTGACTCATCCACTTCTGCCTTTTCTGTGACCGTCTGTGCCTGTTACACACTCTCCCTTCTTCAGACCTCGGATCTGTCCACTCAGGGCCTGCATTTATCCCTTGCTAGGTTGCTATTGCAGTGAGTAATTGTGTGCCCAGTTCTGCTCCAGAAGGAGGCCATCGGCTGCAAACACCCTGTTCTTTCTCCCACACCCCAGACTCCCTGGGGTCCGCACTCTGGCACCTTCTCTGTCCTTGCCCTGTACAGACGCTCACTGTCCGGGTGAAACCCACTCTGGGCCTCTGGCACCCACGCTGGGCCGGGCCAGCACTGCTCTCACGGAGCTCCTCTTCTCACCCAGCTCCTTCCCCGTGTGTCTGTCACCACCCCATAAATGTGCCTGCTGCCCCCTTGTCTACGCCCCAGTTGCCTCTCTCCTGGGGCCGTGGGGGTCTGTGACTGCCGCTGCCCTGCAACCCCTGGGGGAAGAGCACAAGAGCCCCAGATGCCCGTGCAGGTCTGCAGTGCCTCGGCCACCCCAACCTTGCAGCGTGCCTGCCCTTCCTCCTGCTTTAGTTTCTCCCTGGCCCTGGCCACCAGGACACGCACCTTGCTCCCTGCTCTTCACCTCCCTCTGCGTCCTTCTCATCCACCTTCACTGTTCTCTGCTGACTCCTGCCTGAGTGGCAGCCGTTCCCACAGCTTGCTCCTCAGCCGTCATCCCGAGGCCCTCTGCACAGCTCCTCAGTGACGTTATCCACACCGTGCGTGTCTTTCAGTCCGGTCCTGCCTCAGCCCTGACGCATCCAGTGTGGCTCTGGAACTTTTTGTCTCCCTGCCCATCTCCCAGGGCCTCCTCTTTTTAGGTCCTGTTCCACTTCCAGGGCCCACATGGAGTTACCCCGGTGGGTCCTTGGCTACATCTCCCTGCTAGGCCTCTGTTGCTCTCCTCTCCGTTTCCTCTCTGATATTCAGAGACCTTCGTCCTCTCCTGCCTATGATGTTTCAATGGCTTCTTTTTAAAAATCCTTTACTTTTTAATTGTATAAGATGCTAGGGATCCAGATACAAATAAGCCCCAGTCTCAGTCCTTGAGAAACTCGTGGTCCTGGCTGGTGCCACACCCCAGGCCACAGATGCAGTGAGTAGCAGTGGTGGCATCTGTGGGTCACACAGCTGCAGGTTGGGCTGGGATGCCCTGGGACATGCTGGGTTGTGGGTGGGCCTGTACCAGCGCTGCCTTCCCTCTGACACCCTGCAGCTTCCCAGTCTGACTGGTGTGTGCTTCAGGGGCTCAGGACACTTTGCACGCTGGGTGGTGTCTGTTAGGAGTAAGACCTTTATTCAGTTAAGGAAGCAGAAGGAGATTTGCAGAGCAAAGCAGAACAAAGCCTCCACACCAGGCTGGCCCCAGGGAGCCTCTCTAGCATACAAGGCCTCACTCAGACATGAGTCTGCTGCAGAATCAGCTCAGCCAAGGTGACAGCCGCACTCTGGCTCACTTTCCTGATTATTTGTAAACTCGGACCTTGCAGTGTTAGCCTCATGACCAGAACGCCAGACCTGAGGAGCAGGCTGTGAAGCAGTGGCCGGAGAGAGCCAGTCTGGGGCAGGGCACTCGCCTCTGTGCTCCTGTCGTCTTTGCTGTCACTCCACAGGGTCCTGCAGTGGAGCAGCAGCCTGCACCCCCGGTCCTGCTTGGAGCAGAGGCTCTTGCCACCCCCTGGACCCAGTGTGTGCCCTGGCAGGGCCTCCTTGAAGAGGTGCTGAGCCAAGTTGGCACCAAAGACTTGGTCCCAAGCCGTGTGCTGTGGGTGTTGGAACTGCCCAGTGATGGCCCGGGGTCAGGAATCAGCTCATTTCCCCAGCTGTCCCCTCCTTGGAGGGCATGTGACTGTCTTGGCCGTGGCTGGTGACCCCTGGCCCTCAGCACACAGCCTCTGTGACCTTCCAGCACCTGCTGCTCAGTTCCCCACAAATACCTCATCTGTAGCACAATTCTCAGATCAGCAGTTCCGGCTGGTGCCTCCACCCAGTGCCACCTCTACCGCCTCCCTGCAGCCTGTCCATCACACGGAGCCGAGGCCCGTGGGGCGGCCCACTGCTGCTCTGTGGTCTGCGCCCTGGACCCTCCAAACTCCCTGCACATAGCAGGTCCTTTCTTTTTCTTTTCGTTTCTCGTTGCGTTTCTTTTCTTTTTCTTTTTAGTTGTTTTTTTTTCTTTTCTTTTTTTTTTGCAGTCCTGGGGATTGAAGCCAGGGCCTTCACACCGAGTTACATCCCAGCCCCTTTTCATTTAGAGACAGAGTCTCTGTAAATTGCTAAGTTACCCAGGCTGGGCTAGAACTTGTGGTCCTCCTTCCTCAGCTTCCCAGAGTGCTGGGAGCTAGGTCCTTGATGCACGTTCACTCAGCAAGTGACAAGGGGGAAGCCCAGGGTGCTGGGGGTGTCAGTGTGTGCTCACATGTCGTCCTCTTCTCTTCCAGGAGTCCAGCAGCCGGGGCCGCCATACTACACTGACCCTGGAGGACCGGGCGTGAACCCTGTTGGGAGCATGGCGATGGCTTTTCAAGTGCAGCCCAGCTCTCCCCAGGGCTGTGTGGCCTACCCACCGCCCCCTTCCTACTGCAACACGCCCCCGCCCCCCTATGAACAGGTGGTCAAGGACAAGTAGGCCACACCCTGCCCCCCCCCCCGCCGGGCTCCGCCCTGGCTCTTGAGCTCCTGTGGAGGACACTGTCTGAGTCCACACCATCTCCTCTGTTGCTTCCGTTCCTGATGTGGCCTGTGCTCTCCAGTAGCATAGCGACTATCCCGAGGGAGATAGTGTAGGGCTTCACGGACCAGATCCTCCAGACAGAGCCTGAGAGGAGGGCAGGGAGGAGAGCTGGGACAGGGGAGGCCACAGCAGCCCTGTTGGCTGTCCTGGCAGGGGAAAGGCCCCTGCACACTCCTCTGTCCCCACCCACATCCTGCAGCCAGGCCTCCCTCTGCACAGACCAGAGGCCCAGCACACGCAGCATGATGAGCATGGACAGGGCCAGCTCAGCTGTGTTCTCTCCTGTTGCCTGAAGGCCCCAAGGAAGTCCTTCAAGTCCCGGGAATCACGCCCTGCCCTGCCCAAACCCAGACTGAGTGCCATGGCTCTGGGTCTGACTTGGAGAAACACGTCCCCTCTCAGTGCATCTGTGACGGCGCCTGTGTCTGTCCTGTGCCCTAGGATGACAGCCCAGGGCTCCCAAGCACCCTGTCCTGGGCCGCACAGGGACTGGATGGACATGGGGTGCCCCACTAGGAGTCGCATTGGCCTTGGACGGGGAGGGGCCAGGGCACAGCCAGCTGTGGGCAACCATGCAAGCCACGCCCGGGACCAGGCAGCTGTGTTGGGAGGCTCGATGAGAAGATAGTGGGATGAACAGACCAGTGGTTCTGCCATGTCACTGAGATCATCAGGAAGTTGTGGTGAGAGACTCAGACCCCTGGGAATGGCCCTCACCCCAGGACCCTAGAGTAGTGACAAAGTTGTTGACAGTAAAGGGCTTGTCCCCAGTGTAGTTAGTCACGTGGGTGTGATCATAGAGCAGACCACCGGACAGTGCTGTGTGTGCTGTGAACAGCATGGCTAGGATGCCTGGGTAGACTGGTGGTGTCGGGAGCAGATTGGGGGTGGACGTTGTTTAAATGAACTCCTGGAAGCCTCTTGAGAAATCGGCACCCATGTAACGTGAGCATCCAGGCCACTCCTGGGTGGCCCTGGAGTGGTTTCTATCTGCATAGGCCAAGAGGCCCACTCTCCGTTTTCTGACAGTGGCAGGATGGGTAACTGTGAGCTTTGGCGACCCCCGGGGAGAGTCTGGCAGAGCCAGAGGCTGCTGCCTGGCCAGAGCACCATGTTGGCCCTGACCTCTGCCCCCTCCCTGTCCTCAATTGGATGAGGCCACAAAGCACAACGTCTGCTGTTTACAACCAGAGTCCCCTTGGCTCATTCCCTCCAGGATATTTATTTTGCATTTTTAACGTCAGTTTCTCCCTTTACTTTTTAAAATAAGCACAGTGAGAGCTGTCCCTGGTGGTGGACCAGGCACAGCTGAATGGGGCACTGAAGTCCACACTGAATTTTGTTCATCTTTTTGATAGCAAATAATCTTGAGACTGAACCCCTGGGAGGGCTCAAGCATTTTATAATCCATGTGAGAAGCGTCGTCCCCATGAGCTGGCGAGTCCGGTGCCTGTGGCCTCTCCTGCTCTGTGTGTGGCCACCCTGCAGGCCGGCAGTTAGGAGTGACTCAGGCGGATCTGTGCATGCTCTTCCTGGGCCACACATGGCTCGTGGTTGCAATTTTTGTTCTCTTTTGATAGAGTCCTGTTTCCTATGTATGCAGAATTAAAAAAAGTTTGGTCACGTGCTTTGACTGTTTTCTGGGGATTGAGCGGGAAGAGTATGGATGCGGGGTTCCTGTGGGGAAGGAGTACAGGGCTCTGGGCTAGAAGACACTTAGTGGTCACTAAGCCTAAAAGAAAACCGTCTGCTAGGAGTTGGGAATCAGGCATTACACGCACAGCTGGTGCTGGAGTTGGTTAAGTGGGACATGCGTCTGTTTTCCCTAAGCAGGTGGCCTTTGTTTAAAAATCACACTCTGGAGCTAGGTGAGACAGTGGGCATTGATACTTCCAACTACTGGGGGGGCTGAGGCAGGAGAACTACTAAGGCCCAGGAGTTCAGAGCCAGACTGGACAACACAGCAAGACTCATCTCAGAAAGAAAAGAAAACCCAGCTCATACACAATCAGATGCAATTCCTCCTACCGACCCCACTGAAGGCTGTAGTTGCTACAGGTGAGTTGCTCCTTAGCTGAATCATTTGATTGTGGTCATGTTTGTGAAGAGGAATTTTATTCTGCCTCTGAAGTGCTTGTCCCCAAACCTGGCACCTCCCTTAAAGCCTTCAGTGGCCGAGCTGGGGTCTCCCTGTGTCACCTGGAGATTGCCCTCTCGGAATGGTGTTCTGGGAGCTTCTGGTACCAGGCAGCCCTGCCCTGCCTGGATTACAGGCCATAGAGTCCGAGGCAGAGGGCAACAAACCTCTCTCTGCCTGCACGGTGATGGCTGTCCCAAAAGGCAGGCAGAAGACCACGCTGGCTGCCCTGGGGCCTCGTCCCACACTTAGCAGGCACCTTCTCCAGCGGGTGCTTCATGCTTCGAGGCATTTACTTTTGCTTATGCATCATGCTGGTCTATTTCTGTCTTTAAAAGGAGATTTGAGGGGGCTGTGGATTTAGCTCAGTGGAGCTGCACCTGCCTGGCAGGCGAAAGGTCCTGATTTGACTACCTGGTACCAAAAAGAAAAACAGGAGATTTGAAATGACCCATTTCCTGATGAAACTAACTTGGGTGCAGCTGCAGCTCCAAGTAATGTATAGTGGTAAAATGGCCTGAAGACTAGAAAGTCACTAGGCATGGTGTCACATGCCTATAGTCCCCAGCTACTCCAGAGGCTGAGGCAGGAGGATCACTTGAGCCTAGGAGTTCAGAGCCAGTGAACAACCGAAAAACCACGACTTAGATTCTACAGTGATCCTTACCGTTACAAGCACTTAACCCATAAATGTGCCCTGGGGCCTCCATTTGATGCACGTTAGGGTGCTCTGGCCTTAGAATAAGGAGATGGTCCACAGCTGAGCTGAAAGCACAGTTTTACCCTCACACCGGGCTCCACTCTTGCTTTCTCCAGTCCAGGCTGATTCTGATCTCCCTGATAACCATCACGCACAGGCCTGAGTTGCGGTCAGTGCAGAGTTGTTAGGGCCAGTGGGCCTCAAGTGATGCAGGCCTGCTCCACCTTGGCTGGGGCTTTGCTGGGTGCTCCAAGCTGGGTGATCTTTGTTGAGTGCTGTGCTGGGTGCTCTAAGCTGGTGCCTGTGCTGGGCCTACCACTGCTCACAGTCCAGATTTGGCTGCCCATCCACCCCTGAGCTGGTGTCCAGCAGAGCCCAGGGGTGTCACCTGTCTCAGGGATCCCTAAAGTCCTGGAGCCCAGCAGGATGGGCCCAGTACTATCCTCAGACATCCCTGGGCCCCCTCCTGTGCCTCCCACTTCCTTAGCAGCCCACACTACACTTGGAGTTGTGGGGGAGCAGGAGGTCCTGGGGATCCATGATGCCCTTTCTTTGGATCCTTTTGCTTAAAGGTGTTTTGTTATTCTTGTTTTGGGGTTTTTTGTTTGTTTGATTTTTGAGACAGGGTCTCGCTATGTAGTTCAAGCGGCCTTTGAACTCACTTATGTACCTTAGGCTGCCTTGAACTCGTGGTGATCCTCCTGCCTCAGCCTCCTGAGTGCTGGGATTACAGGTGTGCACCATTAATGATGTTTTACTCTTCAGCCTTTAGCTGCATATTCTGGAAAAACCTGACGGGTTCAGTTTGTTTCATACCAAGGGTGCAGCCCTCAGGTTACTTGCACAGGAATGGGTCACAAGGGCAGGCCGGTCAGAGTTCAACTCAGCCCTCCCGGTACCGACAGAGCGAGCAGGAAAGGCTTCCAGTGAACCAATTGTCTCGATTAACTCTGTGATCATGCTGGCCCTGTAATGATCCCCAATCTGAAGGTCACGAGCAAAGGCCAGGGAGGTGGAAGGGTGGGTGTGAGCTGCCCTAGCATCCTCAGCTGGGGATGGGGTGGCTGTGCCCCACTGTAGCTCAGCATTTCCTGGAGGAGCTGCTGGGACCCAAAGGGAGGAGACACAGGCCTGGGGGTATCAAGAAGGCCCCCAGGACCCAGAGCTCCAGCTCTGAGAGGTACCACATAGGTCATGTGCTTTGTTTCCCTTTGAAATTTATGATATTAATATATTTCTCTAATTTGTTTTTTTGCTCATGTTGCTGCTAATTTTCTTCTGATAATGTTCTGCTCAGTATGTGCCTCACTTTTTTATGTACATCGATGCTTATTTCCTCAGCATAAGATACTAGACCTAAATTGCTGGCTCAAAGCATATGTATGTCTTTTAGGGCTTCTGACATAAATTATCTTCAGGAAGAGTTTACAGATTTATTCTACCAGGCTCTGCCAACTCTGTGGGACTGGCAATTATATATGGAAGATCATTATAACTGTAATAACTCAGAATGAATTGTAATGAATAATAATGAATTTGGATGAATTATAATGATCATTATAATGATTTAGTCCCTAAATAATTGTCAATTTGAAGTGAGAAGAAGCCCCATTCTTTGTTTCTTTATTACATGGATCCCCCACTGTTGTGGGAATCATGTATGTGTGTGTGCTTGCTTATGCACACATGTGTCGTACTGGGGATTGAACCCAGAGCCTTCACACTGAGCTGCATCCTCAGCCTGTTTTTTATTTTTTATTTTGACACAAGGTCTTGCTGTCATTGAGTTGCCCATGCTGGGCTCAAAGTTGCAATCCTCCTGCCTCAGCCTCCCAGAATGTTGGGATTACAGCCACCAAGCCTGACTTGGGAAGTCTGTGAATGGCAAAACCAAGGTCAGGAAAACTAGGCCCTTACTGAAAGGAGAGGATTGAGGAGGAATACAAAGCATAGCATTACCTATATATTTGTGAAGTATGTACAAAGCACAGCAATGACGCTATGTAGCATCGACATGCACACCTGAAATGCAGGCTCGGGGTGCAGCCGCTCCCCAGACCACTCCAGGCAACTCCACTCCTGACTCACTCGGTTCAGGCAAGGAACGTCGGGAGCTGCCCCACTCCCAAGGGGCAGCAGGAGCAGCACAGTGGTCACGGCCGCTGTCCCTCCAGGACATGCAGACCCAGCTGTGCCCAGGGGCCTCAGCCAGAGTCCAGCAGCACCAGAGCCCTCACCTCTGGGAGCTGCGAGTCGAAGCGACTCTGCCACCATCAGATCCACCATTCTGACTGAGGGGTCCTCACCACGGAACAGGAACAGCTCTGCCCGGTGTGGTTTGTCCACCCCACGCCTGCCCATTTCTCCCTGTGTGTTCTGCACCTCACACACATTTCCGGGCCTGCCTGCTAACGGTGGTGGGGGTGTCCTGTGCCAGGGTTGGCTCCCGAAACACACGGCGCTCTACTCTGGGGCCTCCGGGAAGATTTCCCTTTCTTTCGGTGTGGCGTCTGGGGCTTCCACAGCTATCCTGTGACCAAGCAGAAAAGGCCAAGATAATCCCAGTGACACTGGCTTCACCCCAGTGAACTTCCAAACCAGTGAGCTAATTCTAGGTTTTCTATTACCTAAAACCATTCTTATTAATGAAATGTTCTATTAGCTTTCCCATGCAATAGTTTTGAGAATTATGTGTAGTTTAAGTACAGTGCCTGGTAGTATTAAACACTCAATACAAAGGTATTGCCTGCTCGGTCAGCACCCACGGGGCCTGGGTACTCAGGGTTCCTCAGCTCTGAGGCAGAGACTGGCTGGGTAAGCTGCAGACTGACTGGTGGTTGTGTCCTCTGCTCCCAAGCAGCTCTTCAAGAACTTGGGCAAGCCGTGCCCTTCTGCTGACTTTGATTTCTTTGGCTCTTTATAAAATAACACTAAAGCTCTTTTCAGCTCTAAAATTCTTTGATTCTATTTCTTCTAGAAATATTCTTCCTCCACAGGATGTAGGAACCAGGCTGAGAGGACCAGAGAGCTGTGTTCAGAGTGGGAAGAGTGGGGCAGGTTCACAAAGGGCCCCGGAGCGCCCTGACCTCCCCACCAGCCTCCTCGTGTGATGCCTCACCAGAGCTGCTGACAGTGACCTGAAGCACTCCCTGCACCGAGGGGATGGTCCCTGTGTCGTTCTGTGTCCAGCCCAGTAGCACTGGTGCCACAGGACCACAGGCACTGAAATGAGGACAGTGAGACCAAGGAACTCAATTTTTAAATGTCATTTAATCTTTCCTACATCAAGTAGCCATCTGTGGCCAGTGGCTTCCATGTTGGACAACATAATTTTAGAATCCAGATCTGACTTCCAGTTTACAGGAAGTGGGAGAAAACAGAACAATCTAAAGTACCCCATAGGGAAAGAGACAGATGCACAAGGGAGAGAGTTCTGTAACACAATGGTCCGGAGTCCTGAGAAAGTCAAGGTCATTAGAACAACAACAACAAACAGCTTGAGGGCTTTTCCTATTTTAGAACAAATGAAAGAAAGGTATGAACTAGGAAGCTAGCTGCCATGGTGGACACACCTATAATTCCAGCACTCTGGGAGGCTGGAGGATCCCAAGTTTGAGCCCAGCCTGGGCAACTTAGCAATTTGGTGAGACCCTGTCTCAAAATCAAAAATAAAAAGTGCTGGGATGTAGCACAATTCAAAGGCTCTAGATGTAATTCCAAGCACTCAAAACAAAACATGAACATAGATAAGATCCTGATTGGAAGAACAATGCAGACTTAAAAGACAT